GAGTGGGCCCTCAGACACGACTGTCCAACGGGTGTGTCATCGGCGCCATGTGTTGCGTCGATTGCGACGAACTCTTGGCCGAGAATACAGTGATCTTCGGCACAGACTGTCGGCGACGGACACAACATGAGAGGCCACAGCCGCAGACCTATCAACTCGACTTCCTCAGCAAAATTCTGCCAAATTATCAACGCATTGAGAAACCAAACTTCAAGCAAACCAGTCCTACCAGTCCTCTCACTACCAGTGCCTCGTCCGCCACACCCCTCTCACCCAACAATTGATTTCTTATATTTGATATTCACTTAATTTATTAATAAAATCTTCATTTCTTGTCATTAAGTGTTGTATTCATTAAGTTATTGTACTGTATATACCGGTAAATGTTTTACCTTTATTAGTGAACTGGTGTTTAGCATGCACATTCTTTACAACAACAATAATTGTATGATTCTGTGTAACCTGTACATTTATTTTCATTAAGTTTTGGCATATTTGATATGGGATAACTTAGTTCTCTAGGAACAGTCGCGTAAATTGAATTCAAAGTATGAGTTTTAATTGAACATAAAATCATTAAAAGCTTTGAACTTAAACTATTAATATACTGTACTAAGTTATATACTGTACAGTATGAAATTCATACTACCGGTATGAATAAAGTAAATTGTAAAATACCTCTAAAAATGTAAGTTTAGATAGTCTGAACTTTGTAGTATTATAAGAACCAATGATTAAATCGGTATACAAAACTTGAATTAAAGTTTAATTATTAAACTCTATGCGAGAAATATACTTTTAAATGAACTTGATAGAGTGGTTGCAATATTATTCTATTCAATAGACTCTAATGTATGGGTGGGTGTGAGTTCCTTATCTAATCAAACTTTTCCTGAACCCACTCTCACTCTATTGCCATAAACAATAGAAAAATATAAAATTGTTTCCAATTATGATTAATTTACTTTATTAAGGATACTAATTATAATTGAAAAATCTGAGACTTTTACAAAATTTTACTCACTAATGAACTACAGTATTACAAATAATCGCATATCCTGAATCAGAATTGACGATTACTAATATTATACTGCATACAAATTATTAACATTTGATTTAGAAAACATTTACTCCAAATGAATAATTAACACAATCTTATCAGCTCAGGTTTGCATACAATGGATAAGAAATAATTTTGAAATAAAAAATGGATTTTTCAATAATGGCACAAATGCTATAGCAAATGTACAGCAAAAGTGCCATTATAAAAAAACTCGACCATTATAAAATGTCATTATAAAAGTACAATTATTGTATTTTTATATAAATATAAAAGTATGAAATACATTTGATTACGAGTTCGTGAATATTAAGATATTGCTTAAATGTGGTGCAAATAATAATTATTATAAATTATAGTAATTATAAATTATTATTATACAAAAATGGACGAACAACTGATTTTGAATGCATTTCCAGAATTCCAAGAATTGTTAATTAAAAATAACTTTTTTGAAGAACAGGATCTATTAGATTTATTGGTATTTTATTCGTTTATTTATATTATTAATTTTATTTAAAAACATACATTGTTCATATTTGAATTATACATTTTTTAAAACACAGGCTAATAGTGGACCGGATAAAGAAAATCAATTAACAGTAATAATAGCTAACATTGAACTGAGAGATCCAACAGAAATCGAGAGATTCGCTCAGATTATGCAGTCCTCAGGTCTGGCCATTGAAGACACGAACAGATCTTCAGATGAGACGGACAGCAGTTTAACGAGTCTAAAGAACCAATGGATGATTAGGTTTAAGGATCTTCTTTCAACCCCCAAAACTTTGGGCGATATCTTTACGGTGAAAAATGCCACTAAAATCAAGAGTAATAAATATGGAGACGTCTACTCAATGACATCCCGGCCCCGAGGGTTCTGTGTTATAATTGATAACCAATTGTTTGCCGGAACTAATCTACCCTTCAGGACGGGCTCCAGAGCCGACGCCTACAGACTGTCGGATGTCTTCTCTCAACTCCATTTCGATATCAAATACTTCGTGAATAAGACGAGTCATGAGATGAAGAATTTATTACAGACTGTGATTGCAATGAGTGAACAACTCGTAGAACACGACGCTCTGGCCGTCGTTATCCTCTCGCATGGCATTAAGGATGAGATCTATGGCACTGACGGCAAGACTATAGCCGTCGACACAATTCTCGAGTTCTTCAATAACCAGAATTGTCCGGCGCTTATAAATAAGCCCAAAATGTTCTTCTTGAGCGCCTGTAGAGGATGTGAGTAACATATACTCGACTATATTGTGGACATGTATTAACTAATTGTTTTGCAGCACAAATAGATACGGGAATAATGATGCCGTTGGGTCTGAAGGCTAGTTCGCCGTTTGGCGCGTCACTGGGCGTGCGGCCTAACCACGTGCCCACTTGGAGTGATATATTTGTGTATTATTCCACAATTGAGGGTAAATTTTAATGAAATTAATTTTTAAAATAAGTATTTTCATAGTTTATAAAATTGTGTGAATAGGATATGCCTCACTGAGAAACACAAATACTGGTTCGTGGTTTGGCTATGAATTAGCCAATAGTTTGGCAGAGTTTGCCCATAGAGAACATCTGCACGATTTGATTACCATTAAAGTGGCCGAAAGACTTCACGAGAGAATCAGTCAAATGAACGGAAATTCTGTGAAACAGGCCATTGAGACACAAACCAAAGGTTTCGTTAAAAAGGTTTACTTTAATCCTGGGCTTTGTTTGATGGAAAAGAATTAGTTTTGATTTTTATAGATTTATAACTTATATTCTCTATAATTGTCAATTACTAATGTATACCAAATTACATTATTTAAACTGTTATAAAAAATAAAAGAATTTGATTTTTAAGATACAGTACTTTATTTAATTAATTAAAACATATTTATCTTTTATGAATTTAAAAATAAAAATTGAAGTTTTTTCATAATCAAAATTCTAAATATCCGAATTATGGCAATACTGTTAATTTCACTGTTAGTATATTTTAATGAGTAGAGTATTTTAATTGCTTTATACAATATCAGGTACAGGAAAATAATATTTTATAGTATTAGACTTATAGTAATTATATGTATCGGTAAATTGAGTAAATGATTTGCTGTAATAATCATTAAAACGAGAAAAGTATTATAACATCATTCTCTACCATTCATTTGATAACCATTTTTACAAATAATTATTTTATTTCTATTTGCAATTTGCTTTCAGACTATTACGAGTAAATGTCAAAACAAAAAATATAAGTGTTACGAATAACTTAGGACTTATTGACAAATACAGAATTTTGTTGAATTGACTTACAGTATAACTATAGCAACTCTATTCAAATGTATTCTAATTTATTTACCAAAACTTGAGAATAATAATTACCGTATAAAACATAAAGACTTCGATTTATTCCCACAATTGATTTATTAAAAGTATGGGTACATAATGAGTGTAGTACTTTGTATTTTATTACATAAAATCACAGAATAGAGTACAGTATTTAAAAGAATTAATGGGAAAATGATTTTTCTATCGTTTGACGTAAAGAATTTAATTATTCCAAATATAACCAATTGATTGAATCTATTATTTGTTATTCAATATAAAGTCTGGAGTATTTCATAGGAGTTAAGTAACTTTCAAATAGGAAGTAATACTTGGATGGCTGGCTCATGGGGTATAAAGCCGCTATTCACCAATCTCAATTTGAATGCTTGGGCATTTTGGTAAATACTTGTATTTCTTTACTATAACATAATGTTAATTCTATTTAAAAATAATTACAGGATTGTTATGTTTGTAATGATTGTCACTTTCTTTGCATTTACAAGAGTTGTGTATTTAATTTGTCTTAAAAAGTTTACGAGACATCCAATTAGTGTTATAAACTTGAATGAAGAGAACAATCAAGACTCGACTCAAGCAATATATGCCTCAGTTATAGCTCCACATTATTTCTA